TCAGGCGGTTCTAAACGTTTACACTCCTACATATCCAAGCATCTGTAAGTATTTCGTTAGTAAGTCAACTCAGTTTCTATGTTTATCAATATATTTCTTTGAAACAAAATTATATGTCACGCAATTCCTTTGAGGTGCCAGTTTCAACAAGCCAACGGTTCCTCAAAGCTATCAAAACTCTGAGGAGTCCTGATTTCACTAACCACTCACCACGTTTTTCAAAACTTTCATTTGCAGATCGGCGCTCATTTCCCGATAAGGGCAGTCTCCTACCCAGTTAAAGTGGCCTCAACATGAAGCCGACCACTCACATTCATCGAGTACAGAACGCGCGGATCTTAACTTCCACTTTCCATATACACTTTCACGGTGTACTGTAGACACAGAACTAAATTCTGTGTCCTAATAAAACTTAAAAACCTCCAGCGTTCACCAGACACGGCTCTAAAACATCGTTCCGTACTGTTCATAACACATTGAAATGGAGAATTGGAGTCGATCGATGTTTTTCGATAGATTATTAGAATGACGCTGTACATGCGCACCGAGAACTTGTGTCTCAAGGTCAAGTCCAGCGCCTTAACTTTCTTCGATCAAGCGTTGATAAAACGGGATTATATTTCATGTTGTATCACGAATAAGCATGAACACGGTTGTCACCCCTTTAGCATTACTTATGTAAATTAAATTATAAAATAAAACTCGACATTCTTTTCTCTTGTTCGTCTGGTCTTACTGAATCTTTACATAGGAAAGCATGAAATATGCTGACAATGAAGATAAACTGTAATGCCAGACTTGACTTTCCCCTCTCAGGAGACAGCCTTGTGGCACAAATCCAATTTTGTCGACGCAGATCCCATGTTAAAAAGGATCATTCCTAGTGATTCTTACCTCCCAGTTTCACTGTTGATAATCCCGACACTGTATTTGAGTTCTGGTCATTTTATACTTGTCTATCAACTGACTAATGTCATAACAAATGAAACCTGCGTGTGCCGGCTAATTTAAAACATGCCAGATATTTTTAACGTCCGGACATCGAAACAGAGTTGCAAGTTACATAATTTAAATAACTACATTTTGAACATGCCCTGCCATTAATTGATTTCTTGTCGTCTCGATTTCATCGCAAATGTAAAATAGAAAATACTGTCCATTGTAACAATAACCATAGGTCGCATGATGCATTTCGGATCGTAAACTTTATCCAGGAGGGAACCCGGATTAAAACAGGAGCCTACATTTATCTGGAAATTCATCCTGTCCCTCGAATTTAAATCAAAAACCAAATTACAATCACGTATAATGAACTAAAATGACTTATAACGCAGGAATGGAAAGTAAAACCACAAATAAGCTTATAATAGCAAGAAGTCTGCAACTTCTGTTTCAATATTCCCCGTTCGAATGAATAACGGAGCCCTATGCCGCCAAGAATCCCTGGTGCCCTGAATAACTCCAAGCATGTATCGTATTGTTTCAGTCGCTTGAATCAGACGCCAAAGCCCGTCCTTTGTGGTAACTTTTTCAAGTAAACTATACCCTTCAGATGTCTCCACAAGTATACATCGACATGCGTGAGATCGGGTGATCGTGGTGGCCAAAATACGTCGAGTATTCGGAGTCTTAAAAACTGCTTTACGTCGCAGGTAAAATGAGCAGGAACTCCACCACTCACTCTGACGCTTCGCCATTGGTACATCTTAAAGTAGATGAGGTAATTATTCCGTTAAAAATGCGAATACGAGACCCCAGTGAGTTTATAGACTTGATGAGGTAACTCAAAAGGTCATATTTGATAATAGCCCAATTGTTCTCGCCCAAACATTAATTGTAAACTGATGCTGGAAACGTACTGAATCGATGCCTCATCTCCTTAACAAAGCGGCTATCATTTGTTTACAGGATACTTTTTGCTTGATTTTATCAATAGGGCATGATCACTGCATTTAATTCCTGTACTTAAGGATCATCCTGTATATTACATAATAACAATCAGCTACTGCATATTATACATCCATAATAGTCTTGAAAGTGCGGACTGTAGCGAAACACTCAGACCCTCCCACGGTCAAGCCCGGCCAACTCTTAATTCACTTCACGGCTGCGCTGTCTAGAAAACCCTGACTACATTACAAGGCCAACTAGAATTTATGCATTGGTATAAATTAAAGCTCAGACCACCCGTTGACAAAGAAACGAACATACGAGACAAACCATCGGAATCACTTTGTTATTGGCCATAACGATAACCCCGATGTTTACTCTCGATTAACACAATCGTGACTGTGGGTTTGCAGTCAGACACAACGTAATCGACTTAAAAATAAGTCGATTATGTTAGAAATGTCAGACTGATTGCCAGCATAAGAAATTATATTTCACTGACCTCAGCAAAGTCCAGCAAGCAAATGAGATTACAGTTGAGTTGTGAAATTAAAAATATGAAATCCCCCCTCCCCAAAATTGAAATCCTTGTCTCGAAAAACTGCGAGTATAGTCATGTTCAAAAACGTTTACCATGAGGCAATCCACAACACCTGTAAAAAGAAGCTGTGCAAAATGATTTCCCTTACGACACGGTGGTAACTATATGTACCACCTGCTTACACAGTTAAAAACATTGCATTTCGTATTTATGAGTATCGTAAAATTCTCAGTAAGAACAGCGATAATTTCCTTAAACATCACGAACCAACTAATATTTGTAATGGTCAGGTGTTGTTTTCTTTGCGATGCGGGCTTAATTCTTAAACATTATTCCCTCAATTTTAACATCAAAATTTCACCAAATGTCGTCTTCCCAAGGTTAGTAACATTTAAAACTGTGTACGGACACATTAAGACCTGACCAACTCCTGCAGAAAATGATAAGATATACACGGCAGGTAACGCTAAATGTGGACAACGGAATAAGATAGCGCGCTATACAGATTCAAAACGGCGGGTCGTTGACAACAACCGTATCACCAGGTGATAAATGTCACAACGCACACAAGGGACAAAGGTATAATCACAATGACAGTACGCGATAATAATTTACACACCAGCTTGGTTCTCTCTACAAGACCCTTCTGTTAGTAACCAACTTGGTGGACCACACACGGTGAAAAACGCAAAACCCAACAGAACCTCCAAAAATTAAAACGTCCTGAACGATTATTATTATTATTATTTAGTGTTCTGTCTGACGACAGGTCCATATGAACAGGATCCTTCCATCCTTTCCTCGGACTGGGACCTGTTCATATACGTTCTTGGCCGATGAACCAGAAGTGGTTTGCCATTGCCTTCTTCTGTGTGTGAATGGAGTAATTGTTGGGATGCCACGGAGAAACCGGGGAAGCCCCCGGAGGAAAACTCCGTGTTGCCTAAACCACGGCCTTGCCCAACACAAGTTATAAATTCGGGCACCGCCGGGAATCGAACCCGAGACCCCGAAAATAAAATACTTTGAAAGTCATCTACATTAACGTTAAGACTCAATTGACAGACTTTAAAGTGACAATATTAAAAACAGAGAGAGCAGCAGTAATACTGCGGTTATAATTTTTTGGTCTTGTCTCTTCCCCCCCATACAAGTTACAGACGCCTGACAAGGTGTATTTATATTAGGATGCTTCACATTGCCCCACACAGACGTTGCTGGAGCTAGCCCGTTAACTAGAGACAGCGCCTTTCGATTTCATTAACAAGCAGAAGTCATACACCACACTTCCCTTCTGAAGAGACCTCCAGTTCCACAAATTTTGTGATCTTAACCATTCAAAGCCCAATGGTAACTTTTCATTTTGTATTTATTGGTACCGCATGATTATCAAAGTGATCACTTAAACAGGATTAACCAGTTGATCCTTGTAATGGTGAACTGTAGTGTTTTCTTTTAGGTACGGACTGAATCCTTTAATATTAGAAGCGCATCGTCTTCATAGGATTAATGTTAATAACGCTATCAGAAGACAAAAAAGGACATCGAATGATACCAAGATCAGTAAATAATAAATTTGTCAGAATGTGTTCGACTTCGTTCGGAATATTTCGGTTGTTGAGCGTGTTCGCGTTCGGATGACGAGCCAAGATGGCGGCACGCGCTTCGCTATAGAAGTTCGTAAGAGCGAAATATCGTAATAAGTATCATTAAAAAACGCGAGGATTCATTGTACTTAAATTATTCTTAATTTAACGTTAAATTTTGTCCGTAGAGAAACGGACAAGCGGATAAATAATGCAATTTGAACAACTGCTCGTGTAGCTAAGAAATTACAAGACATTCCGACCTGTCTCCTCAATCTGTCTCTCTCTCAACAATGTCCTTTGTTGTCTCTCAGGCAATCCTGTTACCCCTCTTGAAGTGGATTTAAGATCACAAGTGACATTTAGAAGGGAAAGGAGAAATGTCAGCCAACCAGAAAAATGTCTGCAGTGTGTCCATAGACTTCTTACGTATTACAATGCTATTGTGTACTAACTTTTAGCAAGAGATGGATACAATTACGTCAACTATGATTGATGCTTTTCAGAGAAGACCCGCGGAGTATTTGACTCCGTTAACCCAAAGCAACACGTGACCACCCAGTTAAATCAATAAAGCAAGAGTGGCCCATGTTTCAGGAGGTAGAAAGTAACAATGTAGTACAATGATTAAACCCCGGATTCATATTCGCACGACCCCCGGGTCGAATCTCAGCCAGAATACCCCGCAATTTTCACTGAAATATTTCGTACTTTTCTCCAGTTCGTTCAGGCCACTGCAGTAACAATTCTTAAAATAGGCCAAGACCGATAATGTTGAAATCTTTCGCAGGTAAGAATAAAACTTTTAATTTTCCTTTAACGATATTTAAATCAAGATAAAACTGTTAAATAATCAACGACACTTGGCTGTGACAACATTCAATCATGTAGCATTCAACTGACGATTTGGAGGAACAAGCAGTCTCCATCTTCTGCCTCGAACTTCAGACCTGTCGTCAGACATAACACAAAAAAAAAATTACCTTTGAACCGGGTCGTCATTTTACGTTCTCCTACGTCGGCCGTGATGCGCTGTTGGAAATCTGAAAGAAAGAAAAAAGTATCATTTAGACAGAAATAATTCACAACAGAATTATGGACAACAATAAGTGAAAAATATCCATCTAAGCGAACTGAACGTAAACGTCTACTGTACAACGCAGGCAGCATTATGTAAAACAAAACGTAAACAGGGAGACCATAGGCAGAACACGTAGCACGAATAAAAACTCTAAGGACAGTTAAACGTTGGGATAAATACCTTAAAATCCATTTAAATAACTTAACGAAAACTATGTCTGTACGTATTTTCATTGTTAGTTTATTAATTTATTTTTAAATATTTATTTGTTATTTATATTTGTTCATTATTTATTTAATTACCCCGCTTCGACATTGGACCTACAAAACTTTAGTCGGGGAACCTCGTAAAAACACTTGACAAAGTGTGAAGACAACATCCTTCTGAAATATTGCATCGATTACTTTTGTAGAAGTTAACCGAGGCAATGCTCCGGTTATCAGAGAGATCCAGTCAGCCTCTACCAGACGACACTTTGCAAAATCCCATAAGGTCATCTTCACACTAGCCACCATAAAAAACCCGAAACCTTATGTGGAAGTAATATTTTTTGTTTAAAAAACAATATTAAAATACACATTAAATAAACTAGCTGTGATACAAACAAAGAATATTTTAAATTTAAGTACGACCAATTCGAAACCCTTAGTTCATATCCAAGATTCCGGTCCTCTGTAACTCCCGCCCGCGGTATCGTTCTAACGCACGAAACTGTCCACTTCGTGACGAAGCAGTTCCATTGCATCAAACAATGCGATTCGTTCGCCTTAAAGTGCGTGAAATCATGAAAGTATCTCCAAGCTTCATGCACGCTGGACGTCTTGTCCGATTCACGGACCAGCAGACCATCGTCTCGACTCACAATGTACAGGTCAACAGTCCACAAATGTTCCTGGCGCATCTGAATGTTTATTAACAGTGTACTGCACGAGTAGGTTATCTTGGCTTGTGAATGAGGGGTCGAGCGGGGAGGAGGGTCGGAACGAAAGTCTTCTGTACTAGTCTGGTAGAAAACATCTGCTCCGCTACAATCCTCCAACCACTCAAAGCGCTGTACGCGGTGACACGTGTCAGCAATTGCTAGTACCAACATGTGCGGGCTTAACAAAGTAATTCACAGTAAGCAGGGACAGACAGACAGAGAGAGAGAGAGAGAGGGAGGAGGGAAGATAATTAATAATAACGGTATAGTCTACCGATGTTTTCTTAACAGTCAAGATAACTTGCGCCTACATTAAAGTGAACATAATTTTCATGTATCACTGAAGTCGAGGAGAATATTCAATACAAAAATGTGTGCACGAAATAATGTCAACCCCCCCCCCCTTTCGAAAGATCTACGGTTTGTAACACGGCTTCTGATTTTTTCCAAGGAATGAAGTGACAGGCGGGTGACACGTGTCCTTTGTTAACTCCACCCGGCCAACTATAATATTAAACGCTTCAAAGAGGAGAGGTAGAAAGAGACAGCAATATTTGACACAAAACGTAAACCGGGGATCCTGACATTTTTTCTATACCTGGGGGCCACATTCACCCTAGTTATCGCAGGGCGCAAAATTTATAAATTCAATGAAATATGGGATGATTTCGTGAAGATGATGAAAAGGCGTTCAATGGCTTCAAAAGGTGTTCTTCAAATAGGTCAATGATGTACTATGTGATTCGAAAAACTTATCCCAATTCTTGCACCAACGTAGACCAACGTTACTGTTGCCTCTCATGTTATTCTTGAACTTACGTGATCCCAACTAACTTGTACAACAATTACTTCAAACAATGGAAAATCTGTGATTCCGCAGTTGATCAACACTGGGTTCCAATGATATAGTCTAATGCCTAACCTTGCTAATGACACGTCAGAAATTTCTAATTGTAAAACATCAGATTAATCAAAATTCTCATCGTTTCCCCTTAGCCCACACCTAGAAATACAAGATTAGACAAAAATCAGCTCTTCAGTACGCCAAAGTAATGGTAAGAATGTAGGATCTGAGGTTTTCACAGCGATGAGTATGAAGATTTCTGTCTTCTGGGTTGTTGCGCTGTGTAGTCTGGTAAATTTCCACGGTTTCAGGGGTCATACAACCTCCAACATCAGGGCGATGAATGTGAATATCATACCAAATTTCTAAGAAATCCATCATTTATAAGAATAAATAACGACATTAAATCATTGACACGCTCAGAAATATACGCACATCGTGCTGTATCTGTCCTTCAACTGATGTGTAAAACACAGCCCTGAGTATGCAATTTTTGAATCATAAATGCGGGATATTATTAAGATCTGCGTGTGCTAAGACGAAAGGGCGAATTTTGGCGTCTTGCAACAGACTGCTATAATTAACCCAAAGCGTTTCTCCCCCCCCCTTCTTTTACAATCATAAACTGCTGGCAACGTTCCCGTCTGTTTAAGGCCGTTCCTCGCCGAAATCTTATTGCTGCCCATGGTATGTCAACCTGAGCAAATAACGTTTTCCTATGCAGTTGTACTCTTTAACGTTTCAAAAACTGGCTTAGCCTCCGTCTTCAGGTCACCAACACAGTTTGTTCGGTTCACTGGAAGAACTAAACGTCAATCCTCAACCACTGGAGAGATAGTATTCGTTATAGTCGGCGCACTAGTCTTTGGCCGGTGGAGAAGTTGGCGGAGCTGGCGGACGGGCCTAGTCTGTGTACCTGAGGTGGCGCGGTCAGTGTACTTCTTTTGTTTGGGCGTCCAGTCCGATAAGCTCCTCGGTGCAGTCAGCATTACACTATCGCACAAGTGACTCGCTCCTAGCCTTCCCCTTGAAAATTCCACCGGCCAAAAACTATTGCGCCGACTATACAAATTACTACATAAGAGTGCGAAAATGTAATTATCATAATAAATAGAAACTTAGCTTATAACTGTATAATAAGCTATTAGCACTGCCTTACGCAGCAGTTAAGCTAAGTACTTTCTGTGTTAAGAAACCTGGTCTTGAAATCTCGATTTAGTGTTCCTTTGCGTTGTTTAAATTAAATGATATTACTAAAATTTAACTGTAAACAAGCACAGTACGTATAATAAATAATTAGGTATTTCTACGAATTTTCAACTGGAGCTACCTTAGTCTTTAACACGTATGACACGCTTTGGAATATGTGAGACTCAACGTAAGTAACATCTGTCTTAAAAAGTGCAAATTGAGTGAAACGTTTAGAAAGTGTGTTTGGTTTACTGGTTAAGAGCACGAAGCCAAATGTGGTTTGTGTATACATAACCTGATTCCCGTACTCACTCGTTCTTTCTGTTTACAAAATTATACTAATAATAACAACCAATCGGGTTATGCATGAGGTATGAAACGCCAAGCATTATTTTTAAATTTGCACATCTCTGTGGCTAATTTTGAGAAGTCGCGTGTTCCCTCGAAATAAACACGGCCTCCTTTATTATTAACCCTCTTTCGGCACAGTAATCGTAAGTTACAACTGCACTTTCGTTGATCAGACTGAGTTTTGTGCATGAATAAATGTTCCGCTACAGAACCACTTACGATACAGATCAGTATCAGCATAAAATTGTGTAAAGACGGTTAAGTATTTAAACCTCGACGATAAATAAGATGAGGGCTTTGTTCCTTTTAACACGGAGCATGAAATGCAAGCAAATAGGTGAATAAAAGCCTAAATTTGGAGGCAAGTCACCCTCAAATTTAAAGTGCACTATTAATTTCATAGTAAAACTCTATTCATTTTAATGTCAAATAGCATGTCATGATACAAATTCGAGTAACTTAATTTAAAAAAATCTTCTCGGGCAATCAGCCGCGTCAACTGGTTACCGTAGTAAACCGACGTTTCGGGTACCAACACAGGTTACTTCCGAGGTATCCAGTCACACCAGAACCCTGACGATGGGGACAGAGTTGGCGGCTGATTGCCCGAGAAGATTTTATTGATTGTACTCGCCGCGAAAGTCTCAAATCCTATAACTTAATTTAGTTGTTAAAGATTCCTATTGTGTGATGAGGTTTTGTTAGAAATGATTACGTTATATTCAATAAGGATCAAGCCACTTTGGGAGTAAATATTTGTGGGACTTGAAAGTTACAAGAAGAGACTTAACACCGTCGTCACACCCTTCTTATCACAAAGGTCGAGTGGGCTTTAGCTAGGAACCTTTTACAACAAAAAAGTGGTCACACTTCACCACTTCTCCACAATATTTCTGTTTCCTTCTACTGTTCTCGTATCTTTCTCATCTCTCTCTTCTGCTTAGACGGGTTAATGCACTGTAGATTTTCACGCAATTATAAATGTACGTACGATGAGAGAGTAAAAAAAGTTATCCATTCCTTACCATAATATAACATACAAAAATTTCTTTATAAAATGTTATACAAGTCTGGACTCTGTCGATACGTACAATCAGCTTATACTTTAAAAAAATAAATAAATCTTACGATCAATAAAAGATTGAATAACGTCACAGCAGTTACAGTTCACCATCATCTTTAGCCTCCTGGTCTCTTCAGCTGATAATTCTGAACCTATGGATGTTTCAAACACTCTGCAGACTCCTTTGGTGAAAGATCGTCCCATTCCAAGGACTGATAACACAGGAGAAGCCAACTCATAAAAACTCTTACAAACATCCACACCTCAAATGGGATTCGAACCCACAATCCAAGTAACAATGCACAAGCCCATTGCAGTCTGAGATTCTGATCTTGCAGGCCAAAAATGAGGACTCGTCTTTTAAAGCAACAAAAAACAAATTTTCGTGCATCTGACCTCCAACATACACGTGGTCATGAAACTGTGGGCAAGTTTTCTGGGGAACCTCCCCCCCCCCCTCCAAGCCTTTCTTTCCTTCCACCAATTAATCATACTTCGTATCAGCACTTTCTGAGTTGTGACGCCATGCAAGTTAAAAAAATAAACTGCTTACTTATCTACACAGTGGTTGTACAGTCTTTGAAGGACCTT